TTTAAATGAAATTACTTTTTTATATTTTGGGAAAAGGAGAATATCGAAAGTGAATAGTCCCGGAACACAATAAAAAAAATCTGTGGACATGCGAGATCATATGTAGTGAGAAGCATATATCTCACTTTAAGGGAGCATGTGTTTAACCCTGTATTAAGCCTAGTATCCGGCCCAGAAAGTTGGGCCTAGTGATCAGTTCAGAACAAAGTAATGTTCTAACTTTTTTCTAAACACATACACCCTCGGGTCGAGTTACATGGGCCGAGACAACACAAGCTTAAGAGCTAATAAGTCGAGATTCTAAACCGCAGACAGTATACCCTTCGGGTCGTGTTAAATCAGGCCCAATAAAACAAGCTCATAAGCTGAGTTTTTTTGTTTTTTTTAAAGGTTACAACAACTCACACTAACACACATCCTATTACACACACTTATATATATATATATATATATATATATATATGAAAAAAATATATATTATTTTAAATGAAATAAGTTGTGTAAAGTTTTATAAATATAAAGAGATGTGAATTTCATTGAAAATAAAAATACAAATCTTATAATTTTTGTACCTATAAAATAACATAACTTATATCATCCGAGCTGAATGACGTCAATCGCAATAGACATGTCACATGTGTACCCTTAGGCTGGTCTTCGTCAAGCTCAACGTGACAACTACATAGCTGGACTGGACATCCTTCAAGCGTGCATCACTATGACGCCAGCCTAACCTAATCAAATTAATAACAGACACCAAGGCAAGATACGATCATGTCCAAACCAAGGAGTACGTATGTATATGAAATGGCTCAACATTTTTTAATTATATTTCGAATAAATATACTTTATAACATAATAATTATCAATAATTTTATTATTGTTCTTGAAAAATGATTATTTATTAAATTTTGATATTTTTAATTAGTTAAACTATAAAATAATTCCATCTTAAAATATAATAACCATTTTGATTAAAAATAACTTTCACTGCAATGACTATCTATTGCACGGGGAATTTGTTCAAATAACTCTGCAAATTGAGATAATTATTCTGTTTTTCTTCCTCCACCCCGTTTCATTATTTTTATTTTAGAATGAAGGTGTTTAACAAACAATTTGTCTTGCACTTAGAAAATGGGAGGACGATGTGCCCTTCAACTAAAAATACCAAAGGTAAGTAGGTAACAATAAACAACAGTTACCATAAAAAAAAATTTCCAAAAAAAAGAAGACAAAATATCTAATAATAGTGGGTCACGTACGTTTCCTTGACCTTTGCTCCATTAAATATTAACTAATAATTAAGAAACCCAAACACCGACCAACAATAGAATATGTTCAAAATGTTTACCAAAAAAAAGAATATGTTCAAAATGCGGACGACGTGATTATCCCTATCTAAAATTAGCTGGTGGGATTCCCGAAAAAGGCCTACTACAACTGCAAGTTGCCATATTAGTGAATATCACTAAGCACAAGTGGTGCATTTCAAGATTTTATACTTAACAATAATTATTGCAATGCATGGGTATGATTAATTTAATAAGTGTGCTACTGTTTATGTGTTTGTTCTTCCTTTACGATTTTTAACAATACATCCCGGCGAGCCCACCCTATATTCTTTCTTATCATATACTTTATCATATTATTTTATTTCATTACATAGTTTAGGGAAAGTAATTGAATTACCAATACATGCAGTTTTATTATAAACTCATGAATTTGAAAGCCGTGATTTAATTTTATATGATGACATTCTCTTAGCTCAAATTTTATATTAATCGAAATTTGTTTTGCTAATAATTTAATTAAGGATATAATTTTCCCATGGACTTGATAATTAATTAGAAGAATTAATCAAATTCTTATATATTGTCTTAAATTTTACTTTTTTTGGTGTATTATACGGCGTTAAATTTTAAATTCATAGTTAATTAAGAAGAAGAAAAAAGCAAGTTATTACATTTTTCTTGAGTTCACGTAATTTAACAGCAAAACCGTATTTTATATTTAATTTAAAGTGGTGAAATTTGCAAGTCTTGACATTTTTCTTGAGTTCAATTAATAATAAGATAGTGCGTGGTTTCTCAACCAGAGACAAGTTTAAATTAAATCTATGTATACCGTAATTATATAATATATAATAGGGGTGTTCGCAGTCTGGATTGAATCTGTTTTGGAAGCAAAAATTATCTGATTCAATTCCTTCGGTTTGATCATATAATTATCCATTCGGTTTGAGTTTTTTTTCAAATCTGATCCGATCCAATCCAATTTTTTTTTGTTTGGATTGGATCGATTTTCGATTTTTTGAAAATCCTAAAATTTATTTCATGATTAGTGTGCAAATAACATTTCTTGTATATATTGGTTTTGTAATTTTTTTTTTGAAATACAAAAGCATTAGTAAACTATAATATAGTTTTTTTTTTGCAATGAGATACGAAGCTCTACAAAGATAAAATTTTATTGATGAGATGTGACTAGATTTTTTCTTGAGTTTAGTTGATGGGTTAATAAGTCTTGGATTTAGAAATTTTTAGAGGGAAAGACCCAATTAGGTAGAGAAAAATTAATATAATGGATCGGTTTGGATCAGATCGATTTTCATCAACTCATCCAAAAACCGATTCAATCCAATTAAAATTTGTGTTTTTTTTTTCGGTTTTCGATTTCTCGATTTTCAGTTTATTCGGTTATCGATTTTTCGGTTCGGTCACCGCGGTTTGAATCGGTTTGGATCGATTGATGAACACTCTTAATATATAACTCATATACGAATATATTTTTTGTATTTTAAAATTTTCTATTTAATAAGATGCTATGGAACATATATAGTACTTCAGTATTTCATTAATTATACACAAATGTGTCAGCCAATGCTATGTTTCTTATTAAATTGACTGTCATATGCATGGGCAATTTGGTGCAGCGAAGCTGAGTATCAGTTTCTTATCAAATCACTTATATTTCTCAACATTTCCGCTTATATATGATTCACTGGTGTGCATATCTAGGCAGGAGGGGTTGTTATGTTGTCGCTGCAGTTTTGACATTTTCTTTTTTGCACTTGATTTAAAAATGGGATATATTTTTCTTATGTTGTAGGAAAAAAATTACCTCATGTTGTAGAAACAAAAGTATAAGTGGGACCCACAGGTAAGAGAAAAAAGAAAAAAGAGTGGTGAGACCCAATCCATTTTTGTGTGTGTAGGAGAGTTATTTATCTCATGTAAAATAAGATAAACATAACCCTTTAAAAATATAACACAATTGCAAAGAACAAGAAAACTTCAGGGTCCAGCAGGAGTTGCTTCAACTTAAACAATTATTGGAGAACTAAAATTTTAAATATTTTAATGCAAACCTGATCTCCATAGATGGGGATGGGGTCAGGGAGCGTAGCCTAAATTTATGTTTAAATGAAAATCTTAATAATGTAAAAATATTTTATTTTTAAATTTAATATTAGAACATTGATTAGGAAGATTTAAAATATATATTTTTTATGGTTGAAGACTTAAATTTCTTGGAAGAAATGGAGAATAATTTGTTTGTATTTATATTATTTTAAGTAATTATTATTGAATCATTCGATTATTAGATTCAATATTATTTTTAAGTTACACTCTTCAATAAATATTTTAAATTGTGGGATTCTGTCGTCTTACCTTTCCATGTTTTCTTATTCTCAAGTAGTAAGTTTATAATAAACAAATTTTTGGGGCATAAGCAAATAATTTCTTGATATTATTATTTAAATCATTAAAATAAACATAATACTTTTGGAGCATGAAAAAATAATTTCTTAATTGGAATAGAAAAACCTTTTAAGGTAGGATAGTAACCCTCTTCATTCTATGGTACTTTGATAGTTTAACCCTTTTAAGCATGCATTTTAAACTTTCCCATTCCTTAATTGGTACAATATATCAATGCGAATATTATGATAAAACCAGACTAATGCTATTTTCTTAAATTTAATTATGATATATTATCATTATACAAAAAGGTTTATATTATTAGAGATGTAATAAAGTCATTCATTAAACATTTTAAACTTAAGATAATTGATTCTTGACATGCATTGTGATATAATAATATATTGTAACATTATTTAATATGTTTGACAATTATATAGATATCAATAGAATCAAAATTATTCAATTAGGTATCAATATAGGATTGAGTGACAGTGTAAAACTTTTACGTAATGCACTAAAATTAAACTCAACGTTCATCCCATCAATGAAATATCTGTCCTCAAAACAATTTTAATACTCAATTATTAAATTATTCAGTAGGGGGACAATGTGAGTTGTGCACACAGAATTAGAGGATAGCCAATTCCTTATTATCGTAACCTTGTAGGATATAATATTTACAGTAAATACACATTTCGATCCTCAAGCAAATTTTTTGATATTTGCTAGTAAATAAATAAGCTATTCGTGGTATATAAAAATTTCAAAGTAGACCCATTTTAGTCTTTTTGAAGGACTAATGTGAGTTTATTTTATTTTATTTTGTGAGGGACTATAATTTCAACTAAATGAGTCCATTTTGAATTTTTTAGGGACCACAAATAGCCTTTTTATTTGCTAGGGACTAAAGCGGGCATCTTGAAATTTGTTGAGGACCAAAAAAAGTATTTACTCTAATATTTATTTCCTAACACACATAAAAATACATGGGATCTATATTTTTTCTTTCTCTCTCTTCTCCTTACATGGATTTACATGGACCCCATTTATTAACGTGTAGGAAATAAATTTATTTTGTAAACATTAAATCCATAAATTAGAGATAAGAATATGAAGAAGAATCAAATACAAGCCCAATTATTCAAGAGGTGATAGAGAAAGTAATTAAGACCGAATCCACATCTAATAGTAATGAGTTCCTCTTTTTTCTGGCAAGAGCCCTCAGAAATTTTCTTGGAATCTCATCCAGGCAGTGGGGTTTATAATGTTTTCCAAGATTCTCTTTCATTCGACATGGTCGACTACTCTATAGATGATTTTCACCAGTCATCGATCAATGAGTGTGATACTGAAGCAAAGCAAATGGTGAGGTCTGAAGCCATAGAAGCAGAACAAGCTAACAAGGAAAAATCATATATAGGAGTCAGAAGAAGGCCATGGGGAAAATTTGCCGCTGAGATCAGAGATACAACAAGGCATGGCACACGGGTTTGGCTTGGAACTTTTGATAGTGCAGAAGAAGCTGCTTTAGCTTATGACCAAGCTGCATTTTCCATGAGAGGACCAACCACTGTGCTTAATTTTCCGGTTGAAAGAGTTCGAGAATCTTTGCAAGAGATGAAGTGTGGTTGCAGCGAAGGGAGTTCTCCTGCGTTAGCACTCAAGGAGAGACACCATATCCAACGAAAATTATCAGCAAAGGCTAAGAAAAGCAAAGGGAAACAGGAATCGGAGGCACCAAGTGTGTTGGTGCTAGAGGACATGGGAATTGAATATCTTGAGCAACTTCTGAGCATATCAGATCTAAGTACAAGTGTAAACACCGGCTTATGAGAATGATTCAAATTAGAAGAGGTTAAGAGTTTTAGAAATATAATAAATTCATTTGTGTATTTTTTTTTTTTAATAATTTAAAATGGTTTAAAATTTTCATCGTATGTAGTATCCACACTTCTAAATTCAATATGGGATATACACGGCAGAGACACATTGATGATGCAGTAATAGATCTTTAAGTATCTCATGGGAGTGCATCGACTCGTTGATCTTCAGCCAATATATTGAGTTTAGTGTTCTTCTTTGTCGTGTTGAGTTTTATATTCTTTAAGGTTTAGTTTCTTCTTAATCCTATCTTGTAAACATTTGTTGGGTTATGCTCTTATTACTTAAAAATCTTTTGGGTTTTAGTACATGAGAAGGGCCCAAAGAGACAAAAGGTTATGTTTCATTCTTATATATATTTACTTTAGTCACTTAGGGGTATATTGGATGAGGATTTTAAAAGATTTTTTTGAGCTAAAAAATCTTATAGATTTTAAAAGACTATTTAAAATTAGAGAGACTTTAAAGACTTTTTTAAAAGACTTTTTTTACAATCAAGATTTCATAAGATTGAATTTTAAAAGATTTTAATTGAATTTATAAGATTTGAAAGGATAATATGGATTTATAAGATTTTAAAAAATCATATGAATTTTTAACAAACATTCAAAATTACAAGAGTCAATAAAAAGGGAAAGGTTATACTTACAACCTATTTTTGTTTACAATATTTTACAACCATATCTTAATCGTTGATTTCCGTCAACCAACGGATATCATTCATTGCAAATTAAATATTAATTAATGAGTTTGATTTACGAAAATAATAACCGTTGATTGACGAAAATCAACGGTTGAGATATGATTGTAAAAGATTGTAAACAAAAATAGGTTGTAAGTATAATCTTTCCCATAAAAAAATAACAAAGAAAGGCAATGAAATTAATAAAAAAAGTAAAATCTAATACAATTTTCTCAATCAGTAAAACATCATATAATTTTTAACAAACGTTTAAAATTACTAAACAACAGCTTTTCACATATCTAATGGGTTAAAAATTATCTTCTTCATTTGGTATCAAAGTTATGCATATATGATTATAAGACCCAATTTTTTTAATTATAAAAATAATTCTAAATTTGCATATAAAACCTAAAGTTCATGATAAAATTTCGTTTAGAATTTTTTGCGATTGATCATGAAAATCTTAGGGTTTTGTTTTACGTGATGGGAGTTTTCTAACCATATATCATATGCATATTTTCATTGAATATTCTAAGAAAATTTCGAATATGAAATTTTGGTTTAATTACATGAAAGTTTAGAAAATTTCTCAAATTTTTTTCAATCGATGCATTGAAACCTTAAATTGCTTTAGGGCTTTTGAGAAATAAGCTTTTAGTTATCTATTGACACAAAAATTATTTGAAATCGTTTCCTATAGTGAAGAAATTTGAAACAGTGGCCAAAGTGCCACTGTTGGCAAAAAAAAACACCAAAATGCCACGCCAACAGTAAATTTTGCCAAAATGCCTCGTGGAATATTTCGCTACACTGTGTAGCGAAATATGTGTGCAAATAATTCGCTACACGGTGTAGCGAAATATGCCGCGCCAGAATGCACAGAACCAAAAATGCCACGTGTCAGACAGGGAGAATTTCGCTAGACTGTGTAGCGAAATTCTCCCTGTTTGACACGTGGCATTTTTTGTTCTGACGTGGCATATTTCGCTACACCGTGTAGCGAATTATTTGCACACGTATTTCGCTACACAGTGTAGCGAAATATGCCACGTGGCATTTTGACAAAATTTACTGTTGGCGTGGCATTTTGATTTTTTTTTTCAACAGTGGCACTTTGGCCACTGTTCCGAAGAAATTTCGTTCATGAATGTATTGTTACGAAATATAGGGTTCATATTATGAAAGTTTCAATCTTTCTTTAAATTGATTTTGTTTCATTAATGTAAAAAGAAAATTGGTTTGAGGGTTTTAGTTCCCCTGTTAATTTTTCACTGTTTTATGTTGTTTTTAATATAAAAATCAGACGTTTTTGTGTCAAGAAAAATCGTGACCCATAGCTTGAAAAATCACTTTTTAAACTTCCAAAATTTCTCAAAAATGGCTAAAAAATATGTTATTTTTTAGATAGATTATATTAAAATCTCGTTGGTTTGTTGTTTCCGGGTTATTTTGTAATGAAAATCGCTAAAAAATATGCTCTTTTTTTAGTTTTGACGAAGCTCCCATGGCGGAACCCAATTTCGAGCAGTCAACCTGCCAAAGGAAGAAGAAAATAATGTAATAGAAGAATCTCAAGAAATCCTAGGGGTTAGGGTGAGATTGTGAGAGAGACATCCTATTTATATTTTTCACTAAAAAGTCTCACGAAATCCACATCAATAGAAAATCCCTTAAAATCGTCAGATTTTTGAATACCATGAGATTGTGATTCCATTGTTTGAAATCCTGATTGAATACCAACGGATTCTAAAATAATTTTTTAAAATCCTAATCAAATTCCACGTGACTTTTTTTCAATCCTTTAAAATCCTAATCGAATATCAATGGATTTTTTTGTCCAAAAATAATCCATTAAAATCCTTTGAAATCTCAATTCAATACACCCCCTTAAGTTGACATGTTTTTTGGAATAAGATAAAGTGTCCACGCACTTCAATGTCCCCTCTTGAGTCATAGCTTGTAAGATCTAATCATTTTGTATTTTTTCCTATAAGATGATTCATCCGTAGACATTTAGAACAAGGAGATTCAATGATGGACAAGGGTATTTTACATGCTTACGCCACAAGAGGTATATCATTTGTGTTGATAAACTTTGATGATTCGTTAACATCTGAAACCACAATGGCCACTAAGGGTGAAATTGGGCTAGGCCGGCCTACAGGGGCCTATGGCTCGGCCTACGTAAGGCCAGACCTGACCTAATATATTTTGTAAAATAGGCCGAGCTTGAGTCTTGAAAAAGTTTATTTAATAAAAAGGCCGTAGGCTCACCTTCACAAGGCCTTGCATATAAGCCTACAATCCAGCCTATATTGTATTATTTATTTTAAATAAAATAAAATAGAATAAGTATGACTTGAAGAAAAAACAAAAGATATAAATTTAATCAATTGTAATTATTTATAACTTAATTATATTCGATTATATTTTAATAGAAATCTGCATTTATTTCTTATGTATGAGGAACCAACATCTCAACATGTTAGATTGTGTAAATGAATATGTTAAAATATTTTTGGGAGATGTTATACTTATTATAAGCATCATGATGTGTTTGTTGGATTCATGTAGTTATTTTAATTTACATAGTATGGATTTGTTTGTTGGATCTGATGAAATATATATTATTTAGTTTGAGCATTTTACTTTTGAAATTGACTTAAATGCAGATTGTATGAGTTTTATTGTGATTTATGATTCTGTTTGGACGGTGAAATTATGATTTTTGGTTTAGCAACAAAATTTGAGTATTTTGTAAAGTTAATTCATGGTTCTGCTTAGAAGTTAAAAATTAACAGGCTAACGGGTTAGGCCAGACCATTTGTTTTTTTATAAACGGGTCAAGCTAGGCTAACAGTTAGACTCGTACTAGACTTGGACGAGACCAAATTGAAATTTTTTGACATAGACTTGGACTTATTGGGACAAAGCTCAGCCCAGCCCAGCTCAGCCCACTTTTACCCCTAATGGCCACACATGCTTCCATCGATCAAATTATTCTTTAAATTGGTATCAGAGTCAGATTGTGAGTTTGAATGTGAATCTAAATTTTTTTGTGATTATGTTTGCTTCATGATATATGGCACGTAGGATTCTATAATGTTTGGTTGCATCTTGTTTGTATGTTATATAAATAATTCTTTTCATAAAATTCTTATTTTAATTCAAGTTTTTTTCTTTACTCAATGGTAAAGCTTTTTATGTATTTTTTCGGTTATAACAAGGGGGATAATCCTTTATGCCTAGGTTTCCTTCTCGATATAATTTCAATTTTTGTCATTTTTAAGTTGCATTCCATAATTGTACTGAAAAGAAGACCGAAAGATCTTGAAAAGAGAGTATGGGGTCATAACGTGAAAGAGAACGAAAAAACAATGAAAAAAGACCCTGCCCATGTCGCTAAAAGTGGCTATGCATAGGCTTCAAGCACAAGCATAAATTGGCATGTGGGAGTCATGCATTGGCATAAATTCAATGTTGTGTGGGAGCACAATCAAGGTGTTTTTGGGTGGCTCCAGTGGTAGCATGATCCTCTGTCTATGGCGATTCTAACCATGTACACTACTAGAAAAAATCTCTATAGCGACGGAATTGTTATGAAAATTCCGTCGCTAATTTCATCCTCTATACTACTTTTCGTCGCAAATTTCCTCACAAAATCGTTTGCGAGGGAATTTGTGATGGAAAGTAGTAGCGAGGATGCAATTAGCGACGGAATTTCCATAGCAATTCCGTCGCTATACAAGTTTTTTCTAGTGGTGGTAGTCTGTGTGTCGAGAGGAGATCCTGAGACATCATAATACACATGACAACTAGGATTGCCAAGAAGGTGTTAGGGTTTCTTGCTAATTTTTTTGTATCTTGCGCCTTTAAATCCATGGTTACCGAAAAGGCTTAAATCAATCCTTTGTGCCCAAAAAGGAGATGAATAGATGTGCAAGCTCAAAAATATTTTGTCCATAAAATATTGGCATGTAATTTTATTTTTTGTTTCTAACAAATCATGGATAAAAGTTTATTTATTATTATTTTTTCAGAATGGATGAGTTATATGGTTTGATGACATGCTTTATGTGATAACATATCATATATAATAAGTAGTGCTATATTGATGCATACAATGATAATTACATATATATAACAATTGTTATTGTAAAGAACCTTGGGATACACCACCCCAAAAGCTAGCTCAAAGGGTGAGAGTGACCAAGACCTTATAAACTCCACATTAGTTGCACATACAACCAATGTGAGACTATATATC